AAAGCATCATTGATTTCCTAAAGGAGCACAGTTCTAATTCTCAAGCTGGCGAGGATGAGATTGAAATTGACATCGATGCTCTTAGTGATGATACCTTGTTTGAATTGAGGAAGCTACTGGACGATTATATGGTGGAAAAGCAGGAGCGCACAAAGGTTGAACCATGTGTAGTGGAGGTACATATATATTTTTATTCCCATTTATTTCACGTGTTTATCATTCAAATTGCACTGACTATTGTGTGTTATACATTGGTTTCTGATTACTGCCATATTCTTTTCTTCAGCTTCGTAATGAATCTGGCTTTAGCAATTCATCGGTGCCACCTTGTAAAGGTAGTAGATGGGTTGATTTATGCTCAAAATGATGGTTGTCCTAGATCTGTTCAAATTCTCATCTTTTTTCTTGTTAGGAGACGATCCTGTTGACGAGGATGTTGACATTGTTGGTGGAAATGACCCCCCTGTTTCAAGCTATCCTCCAATAGAGATAGAGAAAGATGCCGTCCGTAGAGATAGTAAATGCAGTAATTCCAGTAGCTCGAGTAGTGAATCAGGTTCATCATCTAGTGGTTGGTGTTGTTACTTGCACATAATTCCTATTTATAAATTTCTGGTGTTATTATTTATTTTAGTTTAAAACTATGAACCTTATCACATATTCTTTTCATTCATTCTAAATCTAAATTTTTACGAGGATTTTTAACTTGAGCATCTGTTTCTTTGGTATTTCCTATTGAAAGGCTTTGTTTTGTTATGAATTCTAGATTATTCACGTTTTTGAACTTCATGTTAGAAATGTATTGTTGTACAATTATGTTGTATCAATCTATCAATATTTTTTTCTCAAGATCAATGTGCTCTCTTTCTCTCTTCAAGACTCAAATCTAAAAGTATTCAGGTGACTGATCATGCAGATTCTGGCTCAGAAAGTTTATCGGGAAGTGAATCTAATGCTGCTAAAGCTTTAGATAGTAATGTGGCTCCAAAGGTATTGAAAACCCAAAAACTATCAACGCTTAGGACTAAATTAGAGTGTTTTTTTTTTTCCTCAACCCTTTTTTTTCGACCAAACATTATCCATCTTGAGGGGCAAATCAGTGGTGAGGCAGGGGTACTGGATGAGTGGTTCTATTGTTATGATGGTATTGAAAATGACCTTTAGTATGTCTACTTAAGGAAGTGGTGAGCCACGATAAGTTATACTAACAGAATTAGTATGTCATGTAATACTTAGATTTATCTATTATGAATTTTTAATCAATATTCTTTTATTTAAGTAGAGACTTAGCTTCGAGGTTGCCTCTTGCCTTTGTGTTTAATGTTTAAGGTGGTGGTTAGATAAGTATAGTCTAATACAAAATGCAAATTTATTTCTAGGACCAAGTTTTATTCGGTAAACACTTTTAATACTATAATAATTTTTTAAAGAAAAATTCTGTGCTAAAAGTAATCTTTATTGCATGTTATACCAGTACTTTTACACAGAGAATATTATATTTCCTTATGTACGTGGTAGATGAGTCATTGATGCACGATGACTTTTCTCTGGCATTTATCAAATGTTTTCTTAGCTATGCAATCATAATTGGATTTTGGGAGTATGTAAGTGCTGGACTTGCTCTTCTTCCAAGTTCTTATTTTCTCTTATTTTCATAATTTCATTTGAGTTTTCTGATTCTAATGGACTGTTCATAAGAATTCTTTTTGAGTTTGGTGCACGGTTTGAAGATAAATTAGTTTATCATCCTTGTTTAAACAAAATATTTTGCAGCTTAATGAAAATTTACAGAGAGAAGTTAATTGACCAAGTACTGCCCAAAAGAAAACCATTGGAGCTTATGATAACTCACTGTTTATTACTTGGGGTGTATGGATACTAAGCTTTATATCTAATAGAAACTCAAAACGAGACATGAGACTTTTGTTGTTTCAAATATCCTACACAATCTTTTGCCTTTCTATTTGAATACTCCATTTTTTCTCATCATATGCTTCAAAGCACAATTTTATATCATTAGGTTGAAGCTTTCTAGCTTTCCTTTTGAATGGGTTGCCACATAGCAGTTGAAACAAATTTCTTCCTACGGAGGCGTGACGGAACACAGGACAGTCTAAAACTTGGTAACTAGAGAGCACGAAACTCAATTTTTTTTTTTTTTTTACTATAAAAGGATGAAGGAAAATGAGAGTTGATCTCCCTTATTTGCTTGCAAACAAAGAGAACACCGAGAAGGTGAAAGCTAAATGTCTAAGGAGGGATCCAACTGAAAATGCTCTTGTTGCCTTGAAAGTCCAAAGCCAACAATCTTTTTTATTTGTGATAGAGAAGTTATCTAGGATGTTTGATACTGAAGCTCACTCTTCAATTTCATCATCCAAATTTGGAAGTTTAAATTCCAATTTTGGGTCGTTGGACAAAGTGTAACGAAATTTTTGTCTTCCATAAATTTGCAACAAAAAAGTGAAGAAAGACTGAAATTTTAGTTTGTTCAGAATTTTCATCGGCCAGCTCCCAGAACTCTTATCATCCAATAACTTGTAGCTGGAACATTGAGGCTAGAAGTATGAGTTTTTACAATCTATCTACGAGCCTGAGGGGTCTTAAGATTTTGATGATGTCAAACGAGTTTATGTAGAATTTCAGTTCCTTAGATGGGTTCTAGCATACCACCTGATCTAATGGGGGAGGAAATGAGTTTTAGCCATGGTACTCACTTGCCTAATATTAAGTATCTTATGAATTGTCTTAGCAACTAAATGAAGTAGGGTTTGGTGAGTCATAGTAGAGGTGTGTGCAAACTTTCTAACTTTTGTTTATGGGATGATATCGATTGTGTTCTTTTTTTTAAAATGATCAGTCACTGTGAAAACTTGAATATTCAGTATTGGAACTTAATTCTCTTGTTGGTTGTAAGCTGAAAATGTACGAGTAATTTATTTGCGTTATCTTCTTTTTTTTTTTTTTTTTTTTGAAAGTTCATAGTTGTCATGCTTTATCAAATATTCACGTGCTGGATTTAATATACTTGGAGATTCCTTGTGTACTTAGTTCATTGTGCATGTCAGTGTACTCTTAACTCTATTTCTAATAAAAGCACTGCGAAGAATGAGTTAGCACAAATTTTACTTGAGCTTCCTTCATCTTGTCAGGAAATTTTGTGTTCTGAAACAAATGTGGATCAGAAGCAATGTGAACTTGGAGAAATAGAAATTAGAAATTGTGAGTGTGGTGGGGTAAATCTTGTATCTTTAGTTTGCTGACAGAGTTTTTCTTCCAGCAACTTGCTCATCATCAGTGCTTTAAACGAAGCTGCTGTTTTTCCGTAACTGTGCAGATGAAGAAAGTGGGACTGGTCTAGTTGAGCAAACCACCCAGGCTAATACAAACACGATTGAGATGGATAGCTACCAAGAGGAGGGTAAGAATGAAAACATCGTGATAAAAGTTTTCTGCCTTTGGGTTTCAGGGCGTTATCATCTTATCTTCGATGTTCAACATTATAGGGGAGAGTGCTCCATCTAAGAGGCAAGTCTCCCCCGACAGGCTTTACCGTGCAGCTTTATTAAGGAATCGTTTTGCTGACACAATACTGAAAGCTCGAGAAAAGGCTCTTGAAAAGGTTTGTTAAGCCTTAGATTCGACTCATGATTAGTCCAGTATTGGGCCAACCACCATCGCATTATATATAAGTTCATTTTTAGGCTTATTTTTTTGTATGCCCTGGCATTATTTCACTCTTTCTCAACTAAATGTCAGTTATTCACATATTATTCGTTCAAGATACTTCTGTTTAGAAAGTTTCCGACTGACATGCCTACAGGGTGAGAAGAGGGATCCTGAAAAAGTGCGAATGGAGAGGGAAGAACTTGAGAGACAGCAAAGAGAAGGTTGTGGTCTTTACTTCTGTATTTGACGACACGACATAATCACACTAGACATAGTTGAGTGATCAAAACTACTTCAGAAAGTTGATAATCATGTTTTTTTCTTACAGAGAAAGCCCGGTTGCAAGCAGAGGCAAAAGCTGCAGAGGATGCTCGCAGGAAGGCGGAAGCTGAAGCTGCGGCTGAAGCTAAGAAGAAAAGGGAGTTGGATAGAGAAGCTGCTCGTCAGGCCCTACTCAAGGTATATTGTGGGTATAATAAATTAAATCATGAACTTGTGCTAGGCATCGGACATTGTCTTTTTTGAACTGGTCTTCAAGTTCTATCCTTACCATCACGCAGATGGAGAAGACTGTTGATATTAACGAGAACAGTCAATTCATGGAGGATCTAGAAATGCTTAGGGCTTCCAACGACGAGCACCTACCGAACTTCACAGAGGAGTCCAGCCCAGAACATTCTCAGAATGGATTTGGCAGTTTCAAGCTTCAAGGTAGTAACCCCTTGGAACAACTTGGCTTGTACATGAAGGTGGATGAGGAAGATGAGGAGGATGAAAGGGAACCACCCCCCCAAAGTGTTAATAAGCCAGCAAATGACGTTGAAGAAGGGGAAATTGATTAGAAGTGAAGTTTTGTTCTTCATTCTCTTTTATATAGAATGTTTGGACATGATGATAGATGGATATGTCCAGACGGTCACTGGTAGCCTTGTGAGTGATATCTTAAAAGATCATAGAAATGCCCTCTGTGCTCCATGATTTTTCCTTGGCTTCAAAACGTTCAAATCGAAGCAGGTTTGTTTGGAAAATGAAGAGCGCAGCTGAAGTTGGCGTTGGGATTATTGGTTGGATGTGTTTGGTATTGCTGAATTGATTTCATTTTTTGGGTTAGGACGAGAGTTGGAAGCGATGCATTACCAATGTATGAACAATAGGGGGATCTTAATGAAAAGAACAAAAAAAAAAAGGAACTGTGGCTAGAATATTCAGTTTTGTCTGTATAAAAAAACCATTTATGTAATGCCCATGTTCTTCCTCGGCACTCGCACAAATATCATCAAACAGAACACCAAACCCTTACCAACCCAAATCAAACACATTTCAGATTCCAATGTTGCAACCAAATATAGCTCTTCCATTACACGATTAGAATATTGATGTTCGATACATTAATCTGGCTTGATCACAAGCTTTTTTGAATACAGGCTTTAGTGGAGTTTTAGCCAAAATTTTTAAGGGCGGAAGATCAGAAGTTCTCGTCCTTTTTAATCCTAAACTAAGAATTCCTCGGAGCATTTTACCATATTCTTCTACGAACTCTTATCAACTATCTTTCTGCTCAATCATATGCTGCAATTACTTCAAACACTAATCCTCGAACATACCTTCATCCGACATTCTAGATGATTCAGTCCCATTCACGTGGGGTTGGTGTGAAAGTTCATCTATTGGGTCACGCAAAATACTGAAATCAAAGTCGTCGTCGTCATCCTCGTCTTCATCTTGGTCTTCATCATCTTCTTCAACCTTGGAACGAGCTTCTCTTTCCATCTTCGCTTTAATCGCATCTTCGTATGACATTTCATACCAAACGGCACCTTTGCCTACTATAGATTTGTTGTGAGCATCTGTCATCCTTTCTTGTTTGCTCTTCTCTGAATTCTTGGGTTCACCCCAGTAGTCATACCGATATAGAGGGTTTGTTGGGTCATATTGATCCTTCCCGAAGTAACTAGCCTCTACATATCTTCCAGGTTCTTCCAGTGGGAGACCAAGAGCTTGTCGGCTGCAAAAAATCAACAGATGTCTTTAAAAACAATTTAATGCTGCATGTTATGTGCTAAATATATTCAGCCTCTACGACAATAATTATTCAAAAAATTCGAAATTGGGAAACATAATGCGACTGCAAATACGATACCAACTAATATCTCTGATTAATGCCTCTCTTTCCTCGAAGGATCTACGCCAATGCATGAGGTCATATTCATCCATTTCAACATTCCGTCTCAATTTAGTAATTTTGTACTCCTCTCCTCTACTCTGTGCTTCTTGTCTTAGTTTATTGTGAACCTAAATCCGCGTAGAAATCCAAACTGGAGTGAGATGAGCAATCATAACATTTCACATACATATAGCAAGGAATAAGATCAACTAGTAGTGGAAATATGAGAGACTTAAAGACTTAAATTCACCAAAACGCTTACTTGACGCTCAGAAAATGCTGCCTCCAAATCAAGTTCTTGGACACTTGTTTTCTAACAATCGAAGATGAGTACAGGGTTATAAATATACATCAATTGCATGCAATACTTAATGCAATTAAAATCTGAGTGCTCACCAGAATCATCTTTGGTAACAAGCTGTTCTTGTAACGTACTTTGGTATATTCAACATTGTTTTCTTCATCAAAATCATCTTCATCAGATAACTCTGAAAGTTTCTTGTCCTTGTATTTATCAGGATTCATTTCCAGATCATCCAATATCATTTGTTCAGCAACATGTATCTGCCACAGCTGAATTGTGGAACGAGGATAACAAAACCATTAGTGACTTAAAGATTTACAGAAATACGAAAGACTTAAGTACCCTAGAAAAGGAGACAATATGTTGATTCTTCCATATAGTAGTTCAGATTTTGGAGGAACATTATCAATAAGGTTAAGATCTTTGGAAGCAAGTGAACAGGAACCTAATTAAATAATCTCCTATAAAAGATTATTCTCACCATTACATTTATTCCACCAACAATTTCTCCTGATTTTTTCACTTTTCCAAGTGGAATACACAGATAGAGTACAAATAGTCAACTTGCTCGAAAATTCAACAAAAGAAAGGGATTACTTCATATCCCAAGAGTTACCTTATCAACATATGGATGATTTGACAATAGGGCTTCATCTTCTGGTTTAGTGCCCGGATCTTTTCTAGGAATAGGAGGTCTACCACAATCACGCTAAAGAGAGAGCATTGGATTAGCACAGTGGGATAACAAACGAAAATAGGACTTATACTAGAATTGCCATGCTTGGACAAATACTATAAAGCATAAAAGATTTATGTAAGTTTCTCTCTCTTTCTCTCTATCTGAAAGACTATAGTATCAAAAAAAAAAGATTTGGGCACAATGGATGAGTTAAAATCAATAAAAAGACAATTATTATTCGATTCACAATATATCTTCTTTTGGGACCTCTGGACACAATAAAACTTCTCCATGCTCAAATAATACAGTATAACATAAACATTCTAGCTTTTACAACATTATATAACATCAAACATTTCATGGGTCTCTCTTTCTCTCTCTGATAGGTCAAAATAAAAATAGTACAGGAAAGCTACCGAACTCCACTGTATATAAAGTAATTGCATGGTAAATGGAAAAGAATGTGACATTTTCAGGATTGAAAGGCACGCACCCTCACTTCATCTGGATTACTGTCATCGTCCCGGTGGAATATTGGTGGGTAGTCAAATCTATTGAAGCTGGAGATGAGGACAGAATGAAACACAGTACATTATAAACATAATCAAATTTTTGCATAAGAAATTTAAATTAGAGCTATAGAATTAGCATACTGAGGGAAAGTTCAACATATCAATTGTAACAGACTGTATAAGAAATATCATATGAAGATGTCCTACTCATCATTAACAAGAATAGTTCTGTGTCAAAATACATACACTAGGTGATCGATATTAGGATGAACAAAACGCATTTCAATAGGAAATCGAAACCGGTAGGGATCTCGCTTTGCCTGAAAAGAAAACAACAACGATCAGAAGAAGTTAGTTGGACACAGATATGTATCATTAAATCAATGAGCAGGTCGTTTTCTCTTCCCACCCAAGATAGAAGGTCAACTAACAATCTGACATTGGGTCATGTCAAGTCACAGAAATACAGGAGTTCATATCTTATAAATAAGGTAAAATATTGAAGGAGCTTGTTGTGATTTTCTTTTCCTTTTGGATCCATATTAATCTGTTTTCCCTCATGGTGAAGTATTAAATAATGAATATAAGAAAATGTAAATAAAATTTACAAAATGCTACTAAGAGAACACTCACCAGAATCTCTACCATCACGGGCATACCGACTTTTATGTGATGGCGAATCCAATACCAGTCATTACCTTTTATGGGAACCCACCTGTAATTATTATAGGCATGAGTCTGAAGGAAAACATTTACAATTCATGAAAAATACAAGTCAAACTCCTTGAGATTTCCCTTTATTCATGCTGGATGGACCCTAGACAAAATCAGCCCGATAATAATAAATTTTAACTATGCGGAGGAGGGGATTACAAGAAAAAAGAAAATGTAGCTAGGGAGAACAAGAGAACATATAGATAAAATACCTAAAAAAAGCTGGTAAAAATAAAAAACTACCAAAAAAAATTTCTGTGATGTAGAGTGGAAATCTATCAGTGAGACAACAAAGTTGACACTGCTCGTATTCTGTGCTCTTAATTAATAGGAACTAAAGCTTCATTATAGACATCAAAGAACATTTTCTTTAATAAGAAGCCAAACTTTCACTGAGGAAAATGAAATAATGACAAGCCCACAAAAAGGAATCCCAACACGAACTACAAGAGCGGACCCCAATCCAAAAGAATGAGACCATAGACATCAAAGAAGATCAACATACGAAACTATACTAACCCATCGTATACACCTCCGATATCAACAAAAGCTCCTTGATAGAGGTGTAAAGTAGTTACTTTCCCTTCACAAATCTGCATGGAGAGTGCCATAACGTCATCTTCTCGTTTCATTTACATTTAACAACAGATAGCTTACTTTTCTTTCTTTTTTAAATTTATGATAGCAGAATGAAAGAGATTTCTTCGACTTAAACTTAAATGTATTTACTAACAATATCATAGAGAGGATCTTCATGCCAACAGAAAAAAGAAAGACACGGTCATTGTGAATGTTCATAGTTGAATTGAAGGGATGGGGCAAGAAACTTACTTGTCCTGGATAATAAAACGGAAGCTCATACTGCAAAAAAAACAATATACAAAAGAACAATCAAGATACTGTAGGCTTAAATAAACCTCATCAAACTTCAGAACTATATGAGTAGTTCACGAATCTCACCATGCCTTCTTTATAATCCTTCCCTCTCTTCCTTCTACCAGGATGATAATCTTGGTCATACTGTGAAAAAGTATTAGTTGGATGGAACAGCTAGTCACAAAATGCACGAAACTTGAAATATCGATTAGCAACTTTAATTTCCAGAAATCACTCAATAATTCATCTCCTAAAAACGGGGGTGTGACAAACCTTGTAGGACTCCTCCTCCAATCTATCTTTATTCGCAGCAACCCACTCCTTGTACTGTTTCAAAAACACTCTGTATCTGTCCAAACACATATCTCCAGTATCTGTCTTCACGTCGTTCTCAAGGCGATCCAGGTCCACCCTCACAGCTTGCAATTTGTGCGCTTCCCTAATAAATTCCAGCTCTTCTCTATCAACCTCCCATCCCCTCGGTGGCCAGTCCCGTGGAGGCACGACTTGCAGGACCAACGGCCTAGTCCACGTCGTCTCAAGAGGCTCCGGTATCTCGCCTTTAGTTTCGCATTGCTTGCGGTAATAGTCACCCTCCGTCAACCCCATTTCCTCCATCTTCTGCTTCCGGTACTTTGGGCTCAACATTTTGAAGGCTTCAATCGCTTCAGGCGTCTGAAGCGGCACTTCCTCGCCTTCATTCAAACTCTTCCGCGCAAAATCGGCTTCTGGAGTGAAGACTTCTTCCCAGGGGGCCCAACCGCGCTCAATCCAGTTACGCTTGCGAGCTTCATCCTCAGTTTCCTTATCTTTCGGACCAAAGTTCTCGAGGAAGGACTCGTCCACAGGGAACTCGTCTGAGCTGAAGCACTTTACACTGAAGTTGCCGGGAAAAGCAAGCGGTGGACAGAGGAGAGGACGCCATTGAAAGCAAGTACGAGGGGAATTGGAGCTTGGAGAGCTTCGGAGCTTGGGGAAGGTGAAGAAATGAGAAGGGTTTAAGAGAGTTTGCATTTGGTTTGTAACAAAACGGACTCCAGTGAGCTTGCAGCGGGAACCAGATAATTTTCTCCAAATGGAATGGATGAACCTATTTTTTATATTCAACTTGGGAGTTATCCGATGTTAGAATCTTACGTGAGCTCGGTCGTGCACATGGATCATCACCGTCCATTCTGCGTGCAAATTTCTTTTCCTTGTATGACCTTCATATTTTTAATTTGTGGTTTTTATCTTTTTTTTTTTCTCTATTTTTACAAAAACACATCGGTGTTGCACACTACTTAACATATAAATGCCTTTTTGCATATTTTTATTTCATTTTATTTTTAATTAGCTATATAATAAATCTCTTCAGCGTTTTTTCTTAATAAGTAAAAATAATAAAAAATAGTTTTTACCACTATAAAAAAATTTAACCAAAAATCCCTTATTAAAAAATATTTATTAGCAGAGAGTTTGAAGTATGACTAGAACTGCACCAAAAATATTGATTTTTTTTTAGGACTGAGAAAGATGGATGAGAAAGAATTGTACCAAAAAGGTTGAGGAGGGTAAGTCAGTGGGATGAGGAAAAGAGTTTGTGAGGAAATAACTTGTACAAACCTTGAATAACAAAACAATCCCAACCAGCACACCCACGAGAACCATTTAACTAAACATGGAGACAGTTGTTTATCAGAGAAGCGAATGAATCAAACCAATCTCCCATAGTCTACATTTATTTTCATGGTAGAAGCTAAGAAATCTCAAGCATAAATGTTATGTTTTAGTACATTAAGTAGCCTACTTCGATTAACTTAATCAAACCAAGTACTTCTGGTATTTCTTGACAATTAGAACACCATCATTTCAAATGAAATCTAAATGAAGTTGGATCATGCTTGTAACGGTCCAAATCTACCGCTAGCAAATATTGTTCTCTTTAGGCTTTTCTTTTTGGATTTCAAGGTTTTTAAAACGTGTCTGCTAGAGAGAGGTTTCCACACCCTTATAAAGAATGTTTAGTTCTCCTCTCCAACCGATGTGGAATCTCACAATCCACCCCCTTTCGGAGTCCGACGTCCTCGCTGGCACTCGTTCCTCTCTCCAATGTTACCTCAAAGAAGAAGTTGGACCCCAAAGGGGGTGAATTGTGAGATCCCACATCGATTAGAGAGGGGAACAAAACATTCTTTAGTTTGAGTTTCCACACTCTCCCTAACAAGACGTGTTTTAAAAACCTTAAAGGGAAGCTCGAAAGAGAAAGCTCAAAGAAGACAATATATTATAACGGTAGACTTGAGCTTTTACCACGCTCATTTCTAGCAGCCACAACCAACAGAGAATACTATTACATCAACCGTGTTCATTAAACATATCATATTTCAAGTTTTGACTAAACATAGCATTGCCATATATTCAACCTTTTCATTTTCTTATCAATAAAAAGAAAAGGCCAGCCATGAAAAAGAGGTTACCGCAAGTTATGTGTTCTTTCCTGTGAGATGGAGTTTGTACACACTTCCATATTGAAATATGAAGAACCTCACAGTCAAAGTTGTCTCCAATATCTGTCCTCGCAATATTTGAAAACGTGCCTAAGAGGGAAAATCAGAAGACAGAAAATAGTCCAGAAAAATAAAGGTAGGTTTAGATTTCGATAGAGCATCACCAGTATCAATAGTCCATAATTTGTAATTAAGAAGCAATGAAGACACTAAGAAGCAATGCCACCTGAAGCCTGTGAATTAAGGTCGTCATAATTTACACATTTTCAGTGACAAGCAATAACAAATCCGAAACAGATGGCCCGTTTGATATCGATTTTGATTTTAGTTCTATGTTTTAGAAATTTATGCTTGTTTCCTCCCAACTTCCAAACTTAACGTAGAAGTAGTATTTATAAGTTTAATTTCAAAAACCACACGGTTAACAAATAGGGCATAAGCAATCAAATCATCAGCATCCCTAAATAAAAACTTTGAAGAAATCACTATGGATGCTATGACTTCTCAAGTAGAGACGATAACCTTCAGCAAATTTGATGGGTTAGACTACAAAGTGTAACAGCCCAAGCCCAAGCCCAAGCCCAAGCCCAAGCCTATCGCTAGCCGATATTGTCTGCTTTGACTCGTTACAGCTGTCAGCCTCATGGTTTTAAAACACGTTTGATAGGAAGAGGTTTCCACACCCTTATAAGGAATGCTTCATTCTCCTCCCAGCCGATATGGGATCTCACAATCTACCCCTCTTGGGGGCCAGCGTCCTTGCTGGCACACCACCCGGTGGCTGACTCTGATACCATTTGTAACAGCCCAAGTCTACTGATAGAAGATATTGTTCGCTTTGGTCTGTTACGTATCACCGTCAACCTCACAGTTTCAAAACGTGTCTACTTGTGAGAAGTTTCCACGCCCTTATAAAGAATGTTTCGCTCTCCTCTCCAACCACTGTGGATCAATACACCGTCATCTTGGGGACCCAATGTGTCTTATTTGATATATTACCGGGGTCTGAAACATTGATCGCCCTATTTCCCAAAACTCACCTCAGAATCTATATAGTGTGCACATTGGTCTAGTCGCCTCATGGCCATGGTTGGATCAACTGGGTGATGAAGTCCATGACACTAGAAAATTTTGAGTATAATTCTACTGTGAGCTAAACTCCAGATGAAATTTGGCGGGAGAATGAGATTTAGCATAGTTTTTTTTCTCCCATATCCTTAAGACTACCAAATGAGTAGATAACATGTTGTCAAAAGGTATGGCGAATTCAATAAGGAGATCTAAGATCTTGCTTAAATCTTTCCTAGAAAAAAATGAATGGATAGATACACTACCTTGAGCAGTCCAAGTTGAAGTACAAAAACCGATTATCAAAGGGATTGCTGTAAAAACTCGAATCTGGAACAAAAACCGAGCATTCAGTGCCGTATCCAATGCTGTGCTTCCCGACATCCTTGCTCTTCTTGAGATTGCTTCGTCATCTCCGGCGAAGGCCTGAAATTTTTTTAAGACAAATTGATTTCTCTTTCACAACCAATCGATCTTTGAACATACTATAGGAGGAAACTCAACAAGTCAGTATTGAACACGAAGAAACTTAACTAATCAAACTTCGAACATAAGTAACAGTATTTGATAAATTGATGTTGTATGGCGATGTATAGATTATTAACACAGATATAGAAGCATGAATCTATAGTATGTACATCTTCACTAGGAAAATTACAAGCACAAATAAGGTTTCCTAAGACTTGATGACATTATAAAGTAAAATCAATCAAAAATAAATCCATGAAAGGCACCTAATAATTGAAATATTACATAAAAAACAGAGGGCCCAAAATATACTCATAGACGGAACAAATTTTTTTCTGTCCTAATGGTCATGAATATTTCTCCTAAGAATGAATATTCATAGATTTGTAAGAGAATTATGTCATGCATGGATGTGTAAAATGTCAATACCAAGTAAACCCGTCCACACAAGAAAATATAAACCACAAGAATGTTAGGAACTACGATTCTCCACGATGGTATGATATTATCCACTTTGAGCATAAACTCTTGTGACTTTGTTATTGGTTTCCTCAAAATGCCTCATGTCAACGAAGATGTATTTCTTCCTTATAAATCCATGCTCAACCCCTTAATTAGGGGATGTGAGACTCCTTTCTCAACCCATCACCCATCGTGAACAAAGAACTGTCATCTGCAATAAACAAAAAGAATTTTGTGAGGAAAAAGCTCCAGACATCAGCAAAATCAATTGCATTGGGTTACAATATATTGGAACAGAGAAGAAATGGAATTGAACCAACCATTGAGCATGCATAGTAACTAACAGTTGTGAAATAAGACGATAGCATTCTGAAGAAAACAAAAGGTTGCCAAGCCTGTAAGCATCCCTTCTGAGAATTTTCTCTTCATTACCACCTGATACTTTCCCTTCAAACAGGCCAATTTGGTTTAACCCAACATCCCTTCCTTTTCCAACCTTAACAGAGTAGTTGATCATAAAAAATCCAAAGGCAAATAATGATATCAAACCAGAATGTACTTGTGGTTTGTAATGCTACCCTGCCTCCCTCGTTCAAGAGTGAAAGAATAAATAGTCTGCGAATTAGTAAAATTAATGCCGTAAGAAATCAATAGAATTCCATAATAAATGACCAGCTGTATATCTCTTTGATCAGATTAAGAGAACAGAACAAAACATTTATTATAAAAGTGTGAAAACCTCTCCCTAACAGACTCGATTTAAAACTGTGAGACTGACGACGATACGTAACAGGCTAAAGAGGATAATATCTACTAGTGGTGGGCTTAGGTTATTACAAATAGTATTAGAGTCAAACACCAAACCATGTGCCAACGAGGATGTTGGTCCCAAGGAAGTGGATTGTGAGATCCCACATCAGTGGTAGAGGAGAACAAATTATTCTTTATAAGAATGTGGAAAATTGTGAGGCTGACGGTAATATATGAGCCAAATTGGACAATATCTACTAGCAGTGGACTTGAATTGTTACGCTTAATCCGTTGCAAATACCACCTCGAGTATACGGTCAAACACATCAGGATGCCCATAATGCATTCGGACTCTGAAAAGTTTACATGAACATTGTGGATCTAACACAAGTACAAAAGTTAAGGATAGCTGGATGAGGAAGACATTTCACCTCTCAGCAATTGAAGCAGCAGCTCTATGTTACACACTAAATAAATAACAACACAGTCCTCGAGCATCAAATCGATGATTTAAAACACCTTTAATAGTGGGGTAATTGGATGATCAATACCCCTTCAAGGTGATCCACAAATCACAAAACCTTTTGTTGAAGTATTAATATAATTATATTTATCTAATCCATTGGCTTAAGCTTTAGGGTTCATCAGTGATTTAACATCGGAGAAATCTAACTTTTAAGGTACCCAACTCAACGCCCATGTCGAAGTTCTGAAAAAAGGAAAAAAAAAAAAAAAAAAAAAACATAAGGGATGAGAGCCGAAATGCTTACAAATCCTAGCAACATTGGAGTCCTCCGCTTGGATTTCATCGGCAGACAGCAATATAGAGTCAGGATCGTACAGCTCCAACAATCCCACAGGGAGTCCTCCCATGGCCCTGCCCTGCATTTCTGAGCCGCAATCTCTTCGAAGTCGCACGCACTAGCCTCTCCCATTTGTCGTTAACTCTCGCCATGGTGCTCTTGCGCTGTATCAACGATCGAGAGCCCACGACTTCACCTTCAAAGTTACCGATCGATTTAAGCTCAAAACCAAAAACTGAAAGACGTAAAATCCAAATTACAGACATTTATCAAAACGCGGGAACGTTTTCGGTTTTGGGTGGCGCTATGCGAAATTACTCATTTGCCCTCCTCACCTAGGGTGGCCTCGCTACCGATGTCGAGAATATGGGACCAGTAAACACATATTTTAATATTTATAAAGTTAATCTCACAAACTACCGGCACGCTGACCCATTTTCCCTCTTCTCTGAACGGCGTCGTTTGCGTGGCACAAACACGTCTATTTAAATACTCCATTTTCCCTCTTCATCCTAAGTTCATGCTCCAGATCAATTCAGAGTTCATAGTAGAGAATTCAGATTTACAGATTTCGTTACAAATTTCAAAGGAAATACCGAAAGCGCAGTACGAAAATCCAGTTGCTAATTTCATTTAGAGCTCTATTCATCAGGCTCTTAAGGAGTAAGAGCTCCATTCATCAGGTTCTCGAGGAATTAAATCATTTTCGGGGTTCGTTGTTTCTCTTTTCCCATATTTACTATATGCATTTTCTTTATACAATTTTAGATTTATAAAGAGTTGAACGGCTAAACGATGATATCCATTTTCATAATTTGGAATTTCTGAACAATTCTTGACTTCTTTATTGCAAGAAACGACTTTCGTCGCGGTAAAATTTTGGAGTATCAACTTATTTTGGAATTTTGGTTCTTGAATCTTGCATTGGGTACCGTCTGTGTGATTTTGCGTTTGCGAGCCCATTGAGCTGAATTCTGACACTAAATCAAGTCAACTTTCTTGTTCTCTACTGTATTCTTAACTTGCTCAAAGATTTGTACGAGTATTTGCTGATTCGCGTTTTATATGTACATGTGCATACTCGCTTAATGGAAGAAGTTGATTTTAAGGTTAAATCCTGTATCTGAGTTTTGAACTTGTATATTTTATTTGTGATTTGTTTTGGATTGAGAACGCCAACTGAAACCATGACCTGGCGATAGGCGATTAAAATGACCCTTGGCCTTCAGTAGGTTGTGCATGCTGGGAAGTGATAATAAAGCACATCCCTTTCTACGCGCACCACATTAGGGATAAATTATTTGAGGGCTAATCGTCTTGTCAAGTTGGATCTATGAGAAAGGGATGGAAAACTGTTTTTAGCATTATTACCAGTAACTGTATATTTGTTTCTAAAATTTATTCTCATGTATAGTTGGTAGCAACCATTGATTGATGCAAATTGAAAATTTATTGGGCTTGCTTTAGTTTTTCTTCAATATTCTGTGTATAGTTTCGAAACAGAAACTTACGCTTACAATTTGGAATTCTGTAGGAAGTCAAAAGGGAGCCAATGCAAGTCAATAACCCTCGAAGAAGACCACACATTCTTCTTGCTGCTTGTGGATGTGTTGCTGCAGTAAAGTTTAGATGTATATGCCAGGGTTTTTCTGAATGGGCCGAAGTTCGAGCAGTTGTCACAAAGACAGCATTGTTCTTCATCGACCGAGCATCCTTCCCAAAGAATTTCTTTCTTTTGATCGATGACCAGGATTGGTACAGTTGGAGAAAACTTGGTGACACCATGCTTCACATTCAGCTTTGCAACTGGGCTGACATTATGATAATCGCTCCACTCTCTGCAAACACACTTGGAAAGGTTATAATATATGTTTGATCATCGTTATATAAGTCTTGCCTCTTGCCCTCATACTTCAAGTTAAACATAGAAATGAATTACCATCTAAACAACTTATGGAGTTAACAGGCAGGAAATCTTTGTCACTTGATGCCATAGAATCTTTGTAAACCAGCCATTTAGTTGTATGCAGCTTTTAGGGATGCTCATAGCTCTTTATTTGTGAGATCTCACATCGGTTGGAAAAGGGAACGAAACATTCCTTATAAGGGTGTGGAAATCTCTCCTTAGTAGACACGTTTTAAAAACCTTGAGGGGAAACCCAAAGAGGATAATATTTGCTAGCAGTGGACTTAGGCTGTTACAAATAGTATCAGAGCCAGACATCAGGTGGTGTGCCAGCGAGGATGCTGGCCCCCAATGAGGGTGGATTGTGAGATCCCTCATCGGTTGAAGAGTAGAGCAAAGCATTCCTTATAAGGGTGTGGAAACCTCTCTCTAGCAAACGCGTTTTAAAAATCTTGAGGGAAAGCTTGAAAGGAAAAGTCCAAAGAGGTCAATATCTGCTAACGGTGAGTTTGGGCTGTTACGTTATTTAACTAAACCTTTCTGTTTGTTAGGAAGTAATGTATTATACAGATTCTAAGTAGAACCTACAGAATACAGTTAGTGCATCCAGAATCTTGGACCAACTTTAATTTTGATGGACTGAAGTTCTTAGATTAGATTGAGGAAACTATTATCTCAGTGGGAGGGTGATATTGTGCATTTGGCATATCTTCTTGCATTCTGACTTGAAGTTATGTGACCTTTGTATTCAAAACTATAAATCTTGGTATAACTTGAAAGTTGTTCATCAAATGTTTCAGTTTCTAATCAAAAGTATAGTTGTTTTGTTACGTTAGTGTCCTGTTTCTGGCCTTGCAGCAATTGCCATTTAAGAAGTGGTTTAGTAAACTCTACTAATGGCTGTGTATGTTGTTATTAGATTGCGGGAGGATTGTGTGATAATCTATTAACTTGCGTGGTACGAGCATGGGACTACAGCAAGCCTATCTTCGTTGCACCTGCCATGAACGCTTTAATGTGGAATAATCCTTTCACTGAAAAACATCTTTCGTCCGTTGATGATATTGGAGTTACTCTGATACGACCACGGTTAAGGGATGGGGAATACTGCAATGGCGCCATGGCCGAACCGGGCCACATTTCCGCCACTGTGTTGCTATTCTTAGAGTTACAACGTAAGAAACAAGAAGCAGCCAGAGCAGTAAGATTTACGGCGTAAAATCATGAAGACAAATTGGATGGTTTTGTATGCACACACAAAGTACAAGCTGCAATAATAATATATCTATATGCCCCTTCTTCCATCTCGTGAACCTCTTCCCTCCCGTGCTTTCACTGAGATTTGGCGGAGTAGCCTGTAAATGTCTCTTTTCTTCTCTTCCCAATTTTTTCTTCTCACTTGTAATCTTACGTTGCATCGTTTCGTCTGCACCAATAAATAACACTTTCATCTGATTTTTAAATTGCACATAGTTCAGTGCAATACTGATAGATGAGAATTTAACACAATCTTGTAGTTTTAATTTTGTGAAAATTTTAGTTTCGAAAAATATTTCATTCCAGTCCGTCCTACTTTTATACTTTTAAAAAATACACGAAAACTTTTAATAATAATAATGTTCAAAAATACTATTTTAACTTCAAATGGTTTTATTAGTACGATTCTACTTTTTAAAAAACCTTTATTATTAGTATTATGTATAAGAAAAAATATATAGATTATTGCCAAATGTTATTTTTAAAAGTTCATGAATTTATTTAAATGCGTTACTATAAATATATTTATGATTATTTTAAAATTATTTTAAAGTTTTTTTTTATTTTAAGTTTTTAAAAAAAATTTAAGATATTAAAGAGACTTAAAAATTGAAGGATATTTTTAAATACGTTAAAATATTATTTTTGAGATTGTTTCATTCTATCCAAATAAGGGTATTTTTAAAACTTTTATTTTTTTTTAAGTTTAATGTATTTAGAATTTTTGGAATGTTAGTTTTTTAATTTCAGAGATATTCAAAATAGAAAAATTAAAGTGATTCTAAAAAATAAAATAAAAGTCTAAAGTACAGATGTCAACTCTGCATTAGCAGCGGTAGCCGAGACCTGGTTTTGGTCTTCCACCACAACCTTCCTCCCCATCTTCATCATCAACCAATTCATGAAACTCAAAACCTGGTCGTAAATACTCAGAGCAACGTACACCCCAATCCCACCCACTATCCCATTCGCTATCGAATACGTTAACGGCATCAATATCATCGTCACGAATGCCGACGCCGATTCCTTCACATTCCCCCAATCTACCTCCTTCACCACCCCCATCATCATCACTCCCACCATCACCAGCGACGCCCCGATCGCCCACGGCGGCACACTTGACAACAACGGCGTGAAGAACAACGACATCATAAAACAAAAGCTCACCACCACCGCCGTAATCCCCGTCCTCCCTCCCTCTCTGATCCCCGCCGTCGATTCCACGTACGTCGCGATCGGGGAAACTCCAAGCATCGTCGCCACCACCGTCGAGGCACCGTCGACGAGATACGCCACGTATTCGCCTTCGAAACTTCCTCGGTCGTTCACAAGTCCGGCGATTCCGGCCAATGTGTAAAGCGTTCCCGTCGTCGCGATCACATCGATGTAAAACAGAGTCCCTAGGGCTACCCATACCTCGCTTCTGTTGAAGCCGTGGAAGCTAACAACACCGGCTGTTGACTGGATTTTGTGAAAGTCCACTACTTTCTTGAAGTAGTTGTACCTCTCGTCGCCGAGTGGGCTGTGAGGGAAGTACGTCACAGCCGTTCCTCTGAACCAAGACACCACCGTGACGAAAACGATGCCGTATATCATGCTGCCCTTAAGCTCTTTCATTAGCCCATAACCCATTATTACAAACCCGATGGACCCAAGCCAAAACGTTGGGCTTTGCATTTTTCCTCCAATACATTCTCCGGTTTCTGGATTTGTACGGCTACAGGCCGCAAGTGTGACCAATGTGGCTGAGTCAGGCCCAACTAGGCCCAATCCCTGGTGGGATTGCAGGCCCACAAAAGCTATGAAAAGCCCAATTCCAGCGGCGCAAGCGAACCGAACCGAATCAGGTATGAGTCTCGCGAGCTTTGAACGAATCCCCAGCGCAGAAACAGTAATAAACGCAAAAGCTTCGACCAAGAAAATGGCCAACGCGGTTCGGTATGGGATTGGGCCGGATCCATGAAAGCCCACTAAGTTATACGCCAAATACGCATTTGGGCCCATAGCAGGCGCGAGGCCCAAAGGAAGATTAGCACAAACTCCCATGGCGAAGGAACCAATCATGGCCGATAAAATAGTGCCAACCATGAGATCGCTCTTGGTTTTGGAAAGACAATTTTGGTAGCCGGCATTGGGCTTGAACATGCAGTCCGGTCCAGCGGTGGCATTCGGCGGCGCGGAGCAGTCGGCCATCGAGCACATGCCGCCGGAGTCGGTGAGGATATTGGCGTTAACGGTGATGATATAAGCCATAGTAAGAAAAGTGGCTAAACCCGCTCGTAGTTCCTTAGTGAAACAGCTATTTCGAGCTTCAAGCTTGAAATATCTCCCCACCACGCTGCGTGCAATTGCCTCGTTTAAACCTCTCCCCATTTTGCCCCATGAGCATCGAAATCCGCCGCCGCCGCCACTCATCTTAGTCTCTGTGTGGGAAATGGTGATGGAGTGGGTGAGGGAAGATTTATATAGAAATCTGTAAAATGGAGAGTGGATTGGTTATAGTCCCATCATGTGCTTCATTTTCTTTATATGGTAACGTATTTGTATTCCATACGTATATACGGTGATGGATTAAAACCAGTTTGAAATTGACTTATGTTTTGTTACCTACCATACTTGATTTTGTAACTTCTCAACCCAAGAATAAATATTAGGATATTATGGAAAACAGGAGCAACTGGATAATAAACTCAATCTAAACGAGGTAATACATGTCATAAACACAATAGGCTGACACCAAATTGTAAAGTTTTAATTAGATGTGTTTCTCTCAAGTGATCATTAAAATTTTTAAATTTTTTCCAGCATAGTCTAAAGCATATTTAAATGATCATTATTCTACCTTTTCAAATTTATTTCTAATGTCTGAAATATTTAAAATTCAGAAATTAAAAATGAAACTTTTTGAGATCAATTGTACAAAAAAAAAAAAAAAAAAAAAAAAAAAAA